ATTATTATTATCAGTTGTGGGCAGCACTAATCTAAAAATTTGTTCCACTAGCCCAAATATTTAGGTCCCCTAATTCTAAAGCACTATCACACTGAAAGTTTTAGCAAAAGCTCATTCTAAAGCACTAATATCCCAGTCAACCCATGAACATTCTTCAACAGACAACATGAGAAACATATTGCCATGTTGCTCTCTTTGACATTCCACAGCTGTATTWGAGTTCATATATTGTCAATATGTCACCTGGTGGAAAATAATTTTTACATTTAGCAAAAGCCCTAAAGCACTAATCAGGAAATTAGTTCCCCTATTAGTGATTTAGTGCTTTAGCGAACCTGCACCAACGACTGATAATGATAATAAAATGTTTCAGTATTATGAGCATTTTTTTTTACTTCATACTATGTATTTTTGAGTTTTCATTTTTTTAAATCTAGAAAGTAGTTGCTTCAAATTCCTCTTTGCCATATTTTCCTAAATATGTAAATCACATGACTATTTTACATAAACTGTATTTTTGTATTTGTTTTAAAAAAATCTGTTGGGACATAATAAAACACTTGATGTTGCCTTTTTACCAGCCACATGTATGCAATAAGATAAATMTCTCATTTTCTTTCAGATTTCACACAGAATACAGCAGCTATGACCTGTCCAGTGCATCTGTTTTCACCTACTGTAGTGCTGCTGCAGGTGTTCCACACGCAGCCTGCTGCTTCACCAGTGACGTGTGTGAATAATGGATACAGGTTTGAGGTTTTGTCCTCAATACATGCAGCCTCAAGGTAAAAACACACACTTAAGCTCAAATGTAAACACGTTTTATTTTTCTACAACTTTGCGTAACATTTGTTGTTGTTTTTTTAAGACAAAATTGTGCATACTAAATGTAATAAATGTCTCTTTGGCATGCATACGTTTTTTCTTCTTCTTTTCGACAGCACAGATGTGTGGAACATCGACACATCTCCATTTATGACAGTGACATACAGTAAAGGTACAGCACAGGTAAATCCACCGTACATACAGTTCACATTTGTGATTCCTACTGCTCTATCTCATGCAGGACTAAACAGATTAAAAAARTGTTATTACTAGTTTCCAAAACTTTGTGAATTCAAATGTGTGTGCACTAAAAGAAGTCCCATATTGCTGCAAACCACTGTTGGTCAGTGTTGTAGTGAGCACTTTGGCTTTCCCAAGTCTCACGTTGTCTTGTTTCTTCTTCTCTCAGACAAATGAGRGACAGACAAGGCAAGGCATTTTGTTTTCTAGTAAGATCCGAGCTCTTCATTTTTTGCTGCATGTCAGAGAGTGATGCTTTTCGTTACGCCAGACAAGCACAGTGAAAAAGTTACAGATGCCACAAAGGTACACTARAGGTGGGATATTGCCACACGGACTCCTCGGTGAAGCACCGTTGTTCCACAAAGGTACGTTCAAGTACAACTTTGCCACATAAAATGTGATTATATATATTTATATATATAAAAAAGAAAACATTCAACAGTGCTGATCTACATGTTTCCTACATTCAGTCTCTCATTCGGATGTTGCGGAACATCAAAGGCGACATTTTGCAAGACACTTGATTATACCATGAGACGAGACACCAACAATTTATCCACACAAGAAGTTATTCAGTGAGGAGTAAAGTGCAAAAACATGAATTAGACAATCATCAGCTATGCTACAGCAAACTCTGCCTCAGTTTAACTGGAGGGTTTTCTCAGGAAGAACACTTATTGATTGAAAGTGTGAGGTGACACCCCCCCCCCCCTTCCTTTGCTCCACAACGTTTGAGGAGTCTGAATTCCAGTGTCATTTAGAGTTGAATGGCTCAGGG